CAGCTAGGCTTGGGGCCTCTCCTCCCCCATCTCCTCCAGGTTGTTGGCGTACTGCTCCATGCGCGATAGCAGGTTGTCCAGGATGTTGCTGCTGCTCTCCCTACAAGCGGGGTGAGCACCCATCTGGGGACCCTTTCTGGGGTCACTCATCACCCCCCAGGGCTGCGGGAGGCAGAGGTACCTGTTGAACTTGCGGAGTTGGACCTTGATCTGGTTGAAGTCGGGGCGCTCCAAGACGTCCTCAGCCCAGCAGTGCTGCATCAGCTGGCCCAGCTCCTCCATGTGGCACCCCACGTTGGCCGAGGGGCGGAAGGTGGGGCGCTCCCCACTCTTCACCCTCTCAATGATCTCTGTGGGGCCAGGCACCCATCAGCTCGTCCAACAACCCATCAGCAGGTCCAGGCACCCACTGCAGAAGCTTCAAGCACACATCATCAAGGCCAACATCCATCAGCTCATCCAAGCACCCACCAGCAGGTCCAAACACCTACCAGCAAGGCCAACAATCCATCAGCTGGTCTGGTAACCCATCACAGCAGGTCCCAGCACCCATCACATCTGGTCCAAGCACCCATCAGCAGGTCCAGGCACCCCCCAACACTGCCAATAACCCATCAGCTCACGCAATAACCCATCAGCAGGTCCAAGCACTCATCACAGAAGCTCCAAGCACCCACCAACGAGGCCAACAACCCACCAGCAGGTCCATGCACCCATTGCAGAAGCTCCAAGCACACATCAGTGAAGCCAACAACCCATCACAGCAGGTCCAAGCACCCATCAGTAGGTCCAGGCCCCCGCCAGCAAGACCAATAACCCATCAGCTCATCCAATAACCCATCAGTTCATCCAATAAACCATCAGCAGGTCCAAACACCCATCACAGAAACTCCAAGCACGCATCAACGAGGCCAACAAGCCATCAATAGGTCCAAGCACCCATCACAGAAGCTCCAAGCACCCATCAACAAGGCCAACAACCCATCAGTAGGTCCAGGCCCCCACCATCAAGGCCAATAACCCATCAGCTAATCCCATAACCCATCAGTTTGTCCAATAAACCATCAGCAGGTCCAAGTACCCAACACAGAAGCTCCAAGCACCCATCAGCAAGGCCAAGAACCCATCATCGGGTCCAACAACCCATCAACGCATCCCCAGCACCATCACCCCATCCCCCCCGACTCACCTTTAGGGCTCAGGTCCAGCCCCTCCACGTAGAAGACGCCGTTGCGCAGGGCGATCTCTTGCAGGATGATGCCGAAGCTGTAAACGTCGCCCTTCTGCGTGCCGCGGGCCGGCGGCAACTCCATCCGCAGCAGCTCGGGTGCCGTCCACAGCTTCTCTGTGTCACCAGGGAGGGGGCTCAGGCCAGGCAGGAACGTGGCGGGGGGACAGGGAGGGGACGGGCAGGGTGCTCACTGGCGAAGAGCGCGTGGGAGTCCTCGCTGTCAGGGGCCACGCGGAAGCTCTCCAGCCCGTAGTCCGTGATCTTCAAGACGAAGCGGCTGTCCACCACGCAGTTGGAGGATTTGAGGTTCCCGTGGGAGATGATCACCCCATTGTGCAGGAACTGCATTCCCTGGCAGGGCGGGGAGCAGTCGGACCTGGTTGTGTCCCACCTCCATGGGATCTGGGGACCCCCGTGGGAACGGGGTGCCCGGTGGGAACCGGCTCGTTACCTTGACAATGTCATAGGTGAGAGAATAGCGGAACATCCAGTCCAGCGTGATGCTCTCGTTCTCCAAGATGTCCTGGGGACGCAAGGGTCACATTGCTGTCCCCCCACCATGGAGGGTCCCAGGTTGGGGGACAACATCTATCTGTGGCTGGCTCCCTCCCACCCCCGGCACTGGCAGAGCAGTTCTGGGCAGCCCTGATGCTGGGTGATGGGCACTGGCAGGGGCAGACGCCGGGCGGCGGGGACCGGCC